ATCCAGGTAGAGAACATTGGGAAGCTGTCAAATGGATACTTAGATATTTGAAGGGAACCCAGAAAATGGGTTTATGTTTCAGAGGGAAGGATGCTATTCTCAAAGGTTTTACAGATGCTGATTTGGGTGGTTGTAGAGACACATTTAAGAGCACTACAGGGTATGTATTTACAGTGGGAGGAACAGCAGTGAGCTGGATGTCTAGACTTCAGAAAAGTGTGGCGTTATCTACGACAGAGGCTGAGTATATGGCTGTTGCAGAGGCCAGTAAAGAACTAGTTTGGTTGAAGACTTTTCTTAAAGAGTTGGGCAAACAGCAGTCTGATTACTTATTGTACTGTGACAATGAGAGTGCGGTGAAACTTGCTAAAAATCCAGTTTATCATGGCAAGACGAAGCACATCGGGATGAGGTATCACTTTGTGAGGGGATTGATCAGTAATAGAACAATCAAGTTGAAGAACATCTCAGGTGCTAAGAATCCAGCAGATATGTTCACCAAGACAGTGGTGCTGGATAAGCTGAAGCTTTGCATAGCTTCAGCTGGTCTCCTGGAATAGTGTTGAGGAGAGGGGCAACTAGGGAGATGTGAAGATCAAGGAAGATTTTTCATTTACAGAAGTACAGAGAGGAGCCGCAGTTTGGTCCAAAGACTCCAAGTGGGAGATTGTTGGTGATGTGTAGTCATCGGCCCAAAGTGGCCCACTTGTAGACAACTGAGAGTTAGGAGACCAGATTAGGGTTTCGGCCGGCCCAAATGGTTTTAAGCCCAGTTTGCTATAACTTGTCCAGCAAGGGTTAAACCCTAATTAGTTGTCTATATATTTGATCTCCTGTACTTGTAATCATTATCACTCAATAATACAAACCCTAGTTGCCCCTGTGGATGTAGGTCAGATTAGACCGAACCACGTTAAATCTCGTGTTCTCTATTGCTTTCTTGCTTTCTATTCGTGTGTGTGCTTTTGTTCTTCACAGTGCCTTGATTTATAAATCCCCTAGTTACTCTCTGGTCATCGCATATAACTAGAGATCATGCTTTTCTAGCACAAGATGGCAATATGCTTCATTCTTTCTGGAAGACTGGATTAAGTGCAATGTGTGTAGCAAACTGATTACTACACCACCACCAATTTCAGTTAATAGTTGATCCATCCGTATTACCTCACATGCATATTATGTCATAACACATTATTTTGAATTTTTGGATCAAAATACCACATTATGGTCTTGCCCTTCCATAAAACCAATGTTCCACTACCAAAATACATCAACCAATTGTAGATCATTGATCATCCTTTGATCTAGGCCAATCAGCATCTGCATTACCATCATTTCTTAAATAACTAAGAGTTTTATCCTGTTTTTAAGTTGCTGATTGGATCTGACAAGGTTAGGATAAGTCGATAAGGTTAGTTTGTAGTCATCCCAAATTTGTAGGGATTGTTTGTTTTATTATCTTCTTTTCCTGTTGTAACCAGACACCATAAATGACCTGATTTATTTTTATTTTTTCTCTTCATTAAGAAATAAGCTGATTATTCTTTGCAATTGGAGATTCTCCATTGTTAACTATTTAGAGTTATCGAGTGAGATTCTTGCTCAAATACCTCGTAATACCTATACTTTATCCTATTTTCATATTCAGTTCCTCTTTAGTTCCTAACACTGTACCTAAACTGCATGTTCAAATTGAGGATAGATTTTCTTAAACAAGGGTATAGATGGATGCCCCAAACATTAGTGGATTTCAAAGGGAGTACGTATTCAGGAATAAGTAACATGTTTGGTATGTGGGGATCAATGATATAGGCACCACCAGACTCATATCCTTTACCAATAATCCTCTTCATTGTAAGATCCTTAAATTTGCCATAACAAGGAAAGAATGCTACAATGTAACTAAGTGTGATAGAACTCAAGAGTGGCTGGGAAATAAATGAAGTCTTTATCAGATTATGAAATCAGGATCCAACTCCATAAAATAATAAAGATGAATGAAACTTCTTATCATAATATGAGCAAGAATCTTAAACTCATATAAGTAATAAAGCCAAGGAGAATCTCCAATAATAAATATTGAATTACTTTTTGGATAACTTTTACAAATAATGAGCCTCAATATTTATAGAAGCCAATTAACTACCAATCCCTAGAATTTAGGCCCATTACCACATTAACTACCAATCCCTAGAATTTAGGCTCACTACCACATTACTTAGCAACTTCTAAAATTTAGGCCACTTACACATTATTTACTACTTAGTAACTAACATATATAAAATAAAACATTTGACCTCATAAACAAATGACCACAACTTCCTCTACTATAAATATTAATAGCATAAAGTAACAGCACATGTGGCACTCTATCATTATCCCCTCCTTCAAAATTTGCCTTGCCCTCTAGGCAAAATCTAGACAAAAGCTTCTCTGTATATGTGGAGGTTTCGGCAGAGGTGGTAGGAAGACAATGTAATGAAAAACTCTAATTAAAGCAGTGGTGCTTTGAATATAAGGGTCCAAATATGACATTACAACTTCAAGGATAAATCAGTGCATGATGCCACTATCCAAGGGTTCATGAAGTGTCAGTGATGCTGTATACTTTTGCAGGATGGTGTTGATACGTATATAAGAGTTTTGTAACCCCTAACCGGAGGCATTCTCATCAGCACTTGGCATAAGAATCATGGCTCCTTCATTAGCCAATTTTTTAGGTGAGAATGGAGAGGTTTGATAGTGGCAACGAATATGAATCATCCCTTCATATTGGAACAACCTCGACTCGAATTGCCGTTGCCAATTGCCATCCATGCTAGATGTTCTAGTCAGGATCGTGGAGGGGCACTGTGAAGACAACACAATTGCATTCTCTGTGAGGTGCTAACTTAGAGTTGCAATTGAAATTCCCTTGTCATCACGTAGGATATTACATGTTGGATGGTAGGAACTGAAATGGCTGGCTGCAATGGTAGGGTGTTTGGGGTTGCGAACGAATGCAATCATACCCTTCTATTTTTGAATTTTCTTTCCTTTCACCTCTAGATGAAATCAATGAGCTTTGACTCCTCTGTTTGTTGTCATATGTTGAAAAACCTTTCCTCGTAAGGAGAATAACTGTTGGATACCAAATGAAAACTGTTGGCTACCACATTACCTAGTAACTATTGATGATGTCATAGGCCAACTACCACATTACCTAGTAACTATTCCTAGACTTTAGGCTCACTACCACATTACTTAGCAACTACAAAAATTTAGGCCCACTTACACATTATTTACTACTAACTAACATATATAAAATAAAACATTTGACCTCATAAACAAATGACCACAACTGACTCTACTATAAATATTAATAACATAACATAACAACATATGTGGCACTCTATCAAAGTGTAAGTATTGTTGACAATACATAAATTAAATGGAAAATCAAGAAGGTTCAAGACATAGATAAAGTTTTTGGGTAATACTGTTTGTCTTTGAGTACCTTGGAGGTAGACCCATCAGCTAAAGCGGCCTCATAACTTGATGTTCGACTTTGCATGAATATAAGGTCTAGAATTGGTCTGATTTACGTGTCTGTAGCTTCAGAATCAATGATCCACTATATATGATGATAAAAGACACATGTTTACATTATGCAAATCAGCGATTAGTTGTAGAACCTCGGGCGCTACCAACTCTTCTAAAACCAATAGATGTTAGAAAATGTACGCTAGCATTTATAGTGCATTCGAGTGTGACTTGGCCTCCATAGCCTCCGCCATGAGACAATTGATGCACACATGGCCAACAATATCTCCCTTAGCAAATTGCTCCCGTTGGGAGTCGAACACGTAACATTGGCTCTGATACCACTTGTAGACCTCAGGTGCTACCAACTCTTCTAAAACCAATTGGTGTAAGAAAATGCACATACCTTATAGTGCATTCAGCACACACAAGCACCCACGACATTCGAGTGTGACTTGGCCTACATAGCCTCCGCCACGGGACAATTGATGCACACATGACCAACATTAGTGAGGGTGCATAAGATGGTGTTTCAGATGCACTGAGAGCATCAATGGCGAAGTTTCACAAGGTTGAACTGGCTGGGGCAGCACGTTTGTTGAGGGTAGTGGCTGAGCAGGTGGCAACAATGTAGCTGGCTTTGGAGTTGCGGGGGGAAGAGGGGTAGACATGGGGTTGTAGCTGTTGTTGTGGCTGGTCAAAATGCGTTCCGGGTTGTTGAGGGACAGGTGATGGATTATTGGAAATCAGGACGAGGGGTTGAGACGTAGTGCCAGAGGCTAAAATATGACCATGAACCCCGACCATGGTCACTGGTCCACCTTCTGAGGTAAATACTTCAGGGATTCCATGTTTCCAACAAAGGTTTCCGTCTTTCCAACAATATCCTTCAAATCACCCATGATGGCCCACAAATGCCACAACGGAACTGGGATGTTATGTTTCGGAGGTAACTGTGTGTCAGAGTGCATTCCATCTAGGATGAAGGCTCCAACAACGAAGCGGGTTAACCTATGGCAAAGGCTGCCTCCATGTGCAGGGATTGGTTTCCTGCATATGAGCATGGGAAAGAGAGAAACATATTTGGAAACAAATATAATTCTTAATGAAACTAAAGTAGGAAACTAATATTGACGATGACGATGATGATAATAAGAAGGATTGTGACAATAATAATAATGATAGTAATAATATTGATAATCATAATCATTAGGATGATGGTGGTAATGATGATGATGAGCCCCCCACCCCAACCCTCCACCCATACACATCAATTAATGAAATGTGATGATGTATGGCCTCATAATGCAATACTAAGATGGAGAACTCTAGAAATAACTGGTACTCAAGTACCCAACACAATATCTTTATCGCATACTGCTTTGCTTCTTTCAGTGTCAAGTCTGTTGCCATACCGTACTAAAGAATAAACTTTATATTGATTTGAATTCTAACTACTTTTTTCATAGTTTCTTTGTAGAGTAGCAGATATCCTTTCTGATTACCTTGGTGGGTTAAATGAAGATTTGGTTAAGGACAACTTTGTGATTGTGTATGAGGTACTTGTAATTGCATGTATTTGATAAATGTGGGTTATATTTCTCTATATATTTGATTACATTCATCTGTCTGCTAATGAATTTCCTACTATTCAACATTTGTTCTTTTCTGTCTCCCTGGGATTCGTTTAAGTACTATATTCTAAATATAGTGGTTTAGGCTTCTTAAGGATTAATTTACATTATGTCTCTTGATGCTTGCACGAATACTTTCCATTGGCAACCTGCACTAGAGTAATATACTGCTTTCGTTTACATAAATTTGCATAGTTTTATGAAAATCTTGATTTGGCTCTCTGAAAGAAGTTGTTTCGCTCATTGGAAATCTAAACAAACAAATACATATCATGTCCTGAGTCCCATCAACTGGTTAACCTATACATCTTTTTATATTTCAACTCATGAGAAATTTCCCTAAATAGTCCTCTCTTATGTTGGCATTAACTTTGGACATCCATTTGAGAAAATCATCCAAACAGTCTTCTCTTGGGAAGTTCTCATGGACAAATGCTTATTTAAATATGAGTCCAAACACCCACTGTTCTGAGAAACAATTCCCCAAAGAGTCATATTTTCTTTTGACAGTTCTGTTGGACATCCACTGACTCATTCATTTCTTTCATGACATAAGTGGGGTCTAGAGTTAGACTTTCTGTGAGTTGATGTCTCGACAAATTGTCTATATAAGTTAGGGTTTTTTGGGGAATTTTCTCTCGAAATAGAGAATGTTTAGTCATATTTATATGAGTGGTTGTCAAGAAGAAACCTCAAAACAAGAGAGGACTATTTGGGGGATTTCCCTCATGATAGTGGATGTCTGGAGTCAATTTTGTTTGAATGGGTATTCAGAAGAATTTCCAACATTAGAAAGGACTATTTGGGGAAATTCCTCTTCAACTCATTGTTCCTATATATTTGAAAAAATAATTTTTCATGCATTGACATTTGTAGCTTTTGGATGAGATGATAGACAATGGCTTCCCTCTAACAACAGAACCTAATATACTGAGAGAGATGATATCTCCTCCAAATATTGTTAGCAAAGTGTTGAGTGTTGTAACAGGCAGTAGTTCCAATGTCAGCAACACTCTTCCTCGCTCGACAGCAACCTGTGTTCCTTGGAGGAAAAGTGACTTGAAACATACAAGCAATGAGGTTTACGTTAACCTCAATGAAGAAATGGATGCTACTATTAACAAGTAGGTGCACATAATTAATACTTCTATTTTACCAATGTTGCCAAATGGTGGCACCATGGTGGAATGGCATAGCAGATTGTATGCTAGCAGCCAAAAAAATCTTTGGTGGCACCATTTGGTTGATTTTTTGTTTTTTCTAGCATTATGACACCGATTTTTACTTGTATGCTTTGGCCAAATTTTCTCAACTATGTCTTGGACAGAATTACCACAATAAGCCAATTTTTTTCTATTCTTTAAATTCTAATTTTTTAAACATTTTTTGTATATACTCAAACACTCAATTTTTTTGGAACATGCTAGTACAGAAATCAAAACAAAATTGGACTATATTTTTTTTTAAAATTATGTGTATTTGAATGGGTTTAGAGAGCACTTGGGAATTTTGAGACTTTGTTGTTACACGTTTTCTTTTATATGGATGTTAAACTTTGCTGAATTAGAAATCTAAACATTATCAACCACTCCCTCCATTTTGCGATAATGTTCCATAATTGACCGGGCACAGAGATTAAGAAAAGTAAAATTGTGTGGTTGAAAGTAGTGCAGAGAAGAGAGAAATAATAAGACAAACTTCTCCAAAAGGTAAAAGTGGAACCTTTTTTGGGACGGATGAAAAAGGAAACATGGTACATTATTGCGGGTCAGAGGGAGTACAATATCTAATGTGATATATTTATATTAGTGCTACCAATGTATAAAAACTCTAATTTATTACGTGTCGCCTAGGCGGTTGCCAAGTCGACTATGCCTCATGGTGGTACATCGGCGCCGTGGCAACTAATCCAAATATGCATTTCTCCAAATGGCCAAAAGCGCAAAATGAAAAACATGGCGACATTATTGTACATAAGTAAACCTTTCACAATTGCATTCCCAAATATTTAAATTTGCTATGGCATTGAAATAAGTATGCACAATAGACATGTAGCGATAGCTTGCTTATTTACAAAAATGTCACAATGTATTTTCCATCTAACCTTTGAATATGTATGTATACACATACGTAATATTTTTTGTATAACAATGTCAGGAGAGCGAGGACTAGGGTAGTTGAGTAGGCTTTCAGGCTTGGTGGTTGATTTTGCACTTTTCATTCCGTGCTTTCTTTTCTTGTTGCTTTTTGCTTATTGATTTTTTATCATTTGTACACCTTAGTTTGCTCTTTGCTGTTTTTTTCTATGGTCTTTGCTTTATGTGCTCAACTTGCTGCCTGTGTTACTCAAGCTGGGGTCTCTTGGAAAAAAAACCTCACTACCATTGAGTAGGGCTAACTAGGTAAGGTTTTGCGTACACATACCCCCTCTTCAGACCCTACTATCGTGGGATTCAACTGGATTGTTGTTGTTGTACACACATATGTGCATACACATACATGTAGGTATATGTACACAGTATCTAAAATTCAATCAAAGATTTAGATTCATGGTCTGAGTTATTAAGTCAACGAGTAGTTGGTGATGATATATTGAGTACTCGTTATTTGAACCTAATGTGCATATAATGGCCTTTCTAATCAAATAACGAGTACTCATTATATCCTCACCAACTACTTGTTTAGTACTCAATGTTTTTTTATTTTTAGTGACTCATTTCACTCATCGAGTTATAACTTGGTGATAAGAGTGATGACCTACCTATGTTTAGCTTGTTGGGGACATGCATGAGATTTGGGGGGGGGGGGTTCCGGGTCTTGATTGTTCAAATTTTATAATTAATGGACATGTAGTGAATGTTTTTCTGTGCTTATAAGCTCGTCAAAACTGCTTATAAGTTGTTTTTAACTTATAAGTCAGCCGCTGTTGTGTAAGTCAATTAAACAAGGTTTAATCAAATTTGCTCTAAACTCACGTATTGGATCCCGTCACACCACTCTTGACGTACAGTTGGCGCAAGAAAATTTTGACAGAATCCGAGACACCACAACCTAAGGTGAAGGGAGTTGGACTTACATCTGTCCAATGTCCCATGCTAAATGCTACAAACTACACACTATTGGGCCATGAGAACGAAAGTCGTCTTAAGGGTTCATAAGGTGTGGGAAACGATTGAACCAGGCTCAGCCGATGTCGAGAAGAATGATATGGCAACAACACTTTTGTTTCAATCAATTCCAGAAAATCTGATATTGCAAGTAGGCATTCAGGAGACTGCGAAGGATCTGTGGGATGCAATCAAAACCCGCCACTTGGAGGCTGAGAGGGTTAGAGAAGCTCGTCTCCAAACCCTAAATGCAGAATTTGATAAACCTGAAGATGCATGATTCAGAGACAATTGATGACTTTGTTGAGAAGTTAACAAGTTTGACCTCAAAATCCGTAGCCCTAGGAGAAGAGATCGAAGAGAAAAAGATGGTACAGAAGTTTCTTAAAGCTCTTCCTTGTTCTAAATACATCCATATAGTCACCTTGTTGGAGCAAGTCTTGGATTTGAACAAACTAGGGTTTCAAGAAACCATATGATGGTTGAAAGCCTACGGAGAGCAAATCAAGGAAGAGGACATAGAAACACAATGTAAACTATTATTCTCCAATGGTGAAAGCTCCTATTCTCAAATGGGAGAAAACGGATCAAGAGGACGAAGCCGATGCAACCAAGGTCGAGAAAGAGACCTAGACCAGGATGATGATGACCAAGATGGAAGTCAATGCCGAGATGGTCAAGATCATGGGTCAAAGTGAACGGGTCATAGAAGAACCAATGATCGTCAGAAGGGAAGAAAGGATATATCAAAGGTTCAGTGTTATCGATGTGATAAATTTGGTCACTTTGCGTCAATGTGCCCAGAGTTTTGAAGAAACAGGAAGAAGCTAATTTAGCTGAAATTGATGTTTTGGATCCATCTTTATTTATGATAAGATGTGATCAAGAAATTGTCTTTCTAAATGAAGAAGGGGTGATTCCGAAGCTTTTCGAGATTCAACCAAAGGAGAAAGGCGTTTGGTACCTTGACAACGGAGCATCGAATCACATGGCAGGTAATAAAGCTTACTTCTTTGAACTTAATAAACATGTCACGGGAAAGGCGAAGTTTGGAGATGGATCTTGTATTGACATACGGGAAAAGGGATCAGTATTGCTTGAAGGGAACGGGGGGCAGCGCCTGTTGTTCGATGTTTACTACATACCGAGCTTGCAAAGCAACATCGTAAGTCTTGGTCAAGCAACGGAAGGTGGATGCAAGTCATGCAACATTCACATGAAGTGCGATTTGCGAACCATTCATGATGACACTGGGATGAAGGTGACAAGGACCAAGAACCGTTTGTACAAGATCAACCTCAAGATAGCAAGTCTGAGTACACAAGTTAACATTATTGGAATGAAGAATTTTGCGGGTAGGGATTCATTAAGAGTTGATCAACTGAAAGAAGGCACGCGAAGTACAAGTTAGAATCTTCTCAAAGATCCAAGTTTAATGGAGAAACCCAAAATTCAAAGTCCAAAGAAGAATGTTCAAGAGTTTAAAGGAAATGTCAAGAAAGGGATTCTAGCCCCAAGAAGGACGTGTAATGATCGCAAGAAGCAAGTCTTTGTTCAAGCTAAGTGGAGCCCTAAGAACACTGCAAGGGATCATGAAGAGCCTCGGGAGAATCAAGGTAAAGAAGACATGCTTGGAGTTGAAGATCACCCTGATTCCAACTCGGAAATTAGTGGGGTGATTGTTGACTAATTACCGAGTAGGATTAGGAATACCGAGATATTCTAGTTTGAGTAGGAATAGAACTATGGGTCCTAGGATTAATTAGCTTATTTGTTGACCAAGTTGGGTTAACATTATATATATCATAGCCAAGCTTTGGGTTTTGATAGAGAGCCATATGAGATTTATATCAAAGTTATTGTATTAGGTTTTGAGTTATATTTTTCTAATATAACAAAAGTGTGTTCTCATCAAATAATCGTGTGTTCCACTTAGTACTTTAAATTCAATATGGTCTATGATAGAAAACCATAAAAAATCACATTTGTGGATGACAGTGGGAGTTTCCAACCTCAACATCAGACCAGTATAATCCCAACTCCGTCAGGCTTTGGTGGGCTCTATGTACACAACTTTACCCTTGTAAAAAACAGAAGAGAGAGTTTGTTTCCGCTAGACCCTTATGCATTGCTGCACTTACTACCCAAAGTTTCAAAGAGAGTCATAGCAATGGAAATTTAATGTGCTATTACCCGAAGATAAAACATTGTCAAAATGACTCTTTTAGCTTCATGACAGGGCATATTCCATTATTTGTTTTGTGTTATTTTGTTTTTTGAAATGTGTTGTCTTTTGAAAATCTACTTTCACCCATCCTTCTATTTTCTGCACTTAGTAGAGACTTAGGCAATGTAAGTGTTTTATAAAAGGAGCGATGAGATCTTTACTTCTATGCCCTCTTAAAACGAGAGAATTGAGTTGGGTGAAAGGCAAGGGTGGCAAATCGAAGGATTGAATAAATTTTAAACGGATTATAAATGATAATGGATGACCTAAACAGATTATTGGCGTGTCCTTTAATCTAAAATTTGATGTTTCTAAAATATAGTAACATGCCAGAAATCACTTAAGGTTTTAGATCGCTTATATGATCAAAGCTTTATTTGTTTTTTGGTTGTTTCGTGGGGATTCTGTGGGTGGTAGGTCAGAATGCAGCTATATAATTCTATGTTTGTTGCACTCCCTCACGATTATCCTAAGAGATTCATGTTTCTTAAGGTTCTAAATGACAAAAAAAAAAATAAACTATATGTTCAACTTGCATCCTTGCTGATTATACCAATTCTCTTTTCTGGATTATTATTGTCCATCCTATTTATGGAATTATTGCTACTTATTAGTTTTGAAGCTTTTTATTGATAGTCGTCTAGTTCTGAATCATGTTTGTGATCCGTGGTTATGATTACCATATATGAATTTTCCTGCTCAGGGAAGGAACTCTTGTAAAATGTGAGGTTTATGGTGAAATTGAAGTTAACTCACAACTTTCTGGTATCCCTGACCTTACTCTTTCATTTGCAAACCCATCTGTCTTGAACGATGTGCAATTCCATCCATGTGTTCGTTTACGGCCATGGGAAGCAAACCAAATCCTATCATTTGTTCCTCCTGATGGGCATTTCAAGCTGACAAACTACAGGTTTGTGCTTTTTCTGGACTTCCTTTGTCGCTTGATTGTTCTTTTTGCATATATTATATGTGGATGGTGTGCATTTGAACGTTCTCCCTCGCAAAAGCTCTTGCAAAATGCATGATGCCATGATAAGATTCTTTCTGCCCCTATATGAATATGAGTATTCAACTTGTGAAAAACCCAAAAGATCTTTATCCTGTTCTTCTGATCCAGATCCATGCCGTATCATGCCCATTTCTCTTCGATCATTAAGATTCCAAAGAATTTTTTATATACTTTTTCAGAGTCAAGAAGTTGAAGAGTACTCCCATTTATGTGAAGCCGCAGCTCACTTCAGATTCTGGAACATGTCGAATCAGCATACTAGTTGGAATACGAAATGACCCTGGAAAGCCGATAGATGACGTGACTCTGCAATTTCAACTGCCTAGTTGTGTTTCATCTGCAGATCTTTCTTCAAATCTGGGAACAGTGAACATCCTTGCACATAAGGTCTTTTTTTTAGCCAATAGATGTTTTCCTGAATGCTATATAATTCTAGCATCTGGAAACTGACAACATTTTGTTTTTTTTTTTGGGTTCACAGACATGCTGTTGGTCGATTGGAAGGATCCCAAAAGACAAGAGTCCATCATTGTGTGGAACCTTAGTGCTGGAGACTGGCCTAAATCGTCTTCACGTATTTCCTACTTTTCGTGTGGGGTTCAAAATAATGGGCGCCGCCCTTTCTGGGCTTAAAATAGACAAATTGGATGTGAGGAATCTGCCTACGCGCCCTTACAAAGGATTCCGAGCTCAAACCCGTGCAGGAGAGTATCAAGTAAGGTCTTAAAGATCCAAACAAAGCTTGGAACTTAAAATTGAACGAGGATGTAGGGGCTATGGGTCAATTTTCCACACATTTTCTTCTCTGGAGTAGCTGTCTTTTGATGATGCCCTATTGTTGTAAAAGTAGTATGAGAATTTGTTCTATATTTCGTTAGGGAATCCCTATTTTTCTATTGTTTACCTTAAAAAAAAGGCTAGTTTGGCATTAATACGTTTCCTTCATGACAAATGCAAAATAAACCTAGGTCAGAGAAGAGTAAAACACATGAATATGACGGATGACATTATGTACTGTTTTTTTTTTGTAGTTGATATTGAATTTGTGAAGTATGAAATGATTTTAGCGAATTTCTCTTTTTATAGATCCATCTCATTTATGAAAAATGTAATTTTATCCTTAATCAGTCTGCATTTTGCTTTTATTTACTTTTACATTATAAAGATAAATTTGTTCATTTTTGATAAAAGGTACACTCCGTATGAATTTAGCAAAAAGAAGCTTGGATTTAACAACACCCATATTATAAACCAAAAAGGAAAAAATGACAAAAATGGTGGTAATGATGTTGAGTTTTTTTTTTTTTGAAATATACGTTTCTTTTAAGGTAGAATGCCTAGGTGCCTTCACACACTAGCCTGATAGGATTATGAGGGGTTAAATCACAGTACAATATTAGTCTGGTCTTTATAGAGGTTGCCTCATTATGAAGCTATGACAAAGAATAGATTTTTTACACTGTTATCGGGATTTGATTGTAGGATCTTTGAGCTTGACATTCTCCTCTTGAACCAATTAAGTTATGAGTTAAATACAATGGTGACATGTTTAGGCATTGATACAAAAAGCTTTGTCTCTCGTACCTACCACTGCCTGTCCATTGCTACCAAATTTTGGTGACAATGTGTTACTCATAATTGCACCACCTCTTAACAAAATAGACTCAAGCTTTGTTTGGCATGAGCTGAAGGTATAATAATGTTGTTTCACCAAAATGCCATAAAATTAAAAAAATTTTAAATCTCTAATTTTGTTTAGCCTTAACGACAACCTTCAATCACAGCCATTGTAGTTCTGTTTCTCTTTCGCAATCTTCTTTGTCTTCTTATGTCTTTCTCTCTAACCTAACTCTTTGTTTTCCTCAAAGAGTTGTGTAGATCGGGTAGGTCATTAAGAAGATTCATGCAGGAATATGCATAGGGCACTAAGGGTCCTTTGCAGTAGGGGAGAGCAAATTAACCGGACCAATCGTGAAACTGAAAACCGAAAACCGAAATAACCGCTAAATCGGTTTCGGTTTTGGTTTTCCATGATAAAAAATTCGGTTATATCGGGTACTTCGGTTTTGTGTCGGTTTTGGTTATTCGGTTAACCGAATAACCGATATACTCCGTATGTGTTTTGTTTGTGTTTAGTTATTAATATGAATTTTTTAAAGCCCAATAGCAAGCCCACTTCATTATCCAATAATAGGAATTGTTTGATTAGGATATCTCTACATGGCAAATGAGTGGCGACAGGAAACCCTAGGCTTTCGATCAGGAACCAGAAGAGCTGCCGGTGGGGGTCGCCATCGTCTGCATCCACGATGCAAATCGGGAACCAGAAGATCTCTATCTCGACGAGCAAAAGATCCCCGTCACCGGGTTCCACTCCTTGAACGCCGACCCCTGCTCCCGGTGTTGCCCCTCGGACTTGAGCGGCAAGTATGTGATCTAGAAATCACAGTGGCACTGGTAGCAATTTTTCGGCCTTTCATATCAAAATGAGGAAAGTTTTCACGTTTACCTGGTATTGGAAGTTTTCGCTGGTAGCAATTGTTGTTTTAGAATAACAATTGGATTTTGATGTTTCTCCTGATATTCGAAGTCCTAGTGCTTCAGTGGTACATGGTTTTTGTGAGAACCCCCAAACCCTTAACTACTCATAGTGCTTTCGTTGATGATGATGATATTGGAGTATTTTTTTTATTTTTTGTATGGGTGCTATGGAATTTGGTTTTTAATAACCGACCGAAACCATTCGGTTTAATCGATTTCGGTTTTCTCGGTTATCCAAATACAACTACAACGGTTCGGTTTTGGTCAGTTTTTTTATATCTAGAAAAATTTCGGTTAGTTCGGTTTTGACCCGAAACTGACCGAACCGACCCGATGCTCACCCCTACTTTGCAGGACTACTTTTGGCTTACAATGATGAAGGATTGTGTTGCCTATGTTAGATGGTGTGGGATATGCCAATAATTTTAAAGGTACTTGGTAGGCCGGTGACCAACTACATCCGATTTGCATTATATCCCCTATCTCATGTTGGGGTATTGACTTTGTCAGAGCCCTCCTGGGGGGGGGGGGGGGGG